GCCCAAAACCCTAGAGATTTGACGGTGTGAGGTCCATCTAACCTCAAGATGGTCTGGTTAGAGTGCCTAACTTGGTCATCTCTGAGAAAAGTGCTCCCTCTCTGTTACAGCAACCTACATGAGGCCATGGCATGAGACTTTGTGGAATTGGATTGCTCAAAACCCTTTCAGTGATGGCGCAAAGTGCTTCTAAATTCAGCTTGGTACCTTAAGTTGAGTCATCTTCAGCATACTTGACACAAGTTGAGGATCAAGTTGAGGGAAGATGACCTGATGTTGGCTGATGTTGCCTGAACTTGACACAACTTCTGAGGGGTACTGAGGAGCAAAGGGAGGACCCTTTGGATTGAGAACAGATGTCAAGAAGTTAGGGTTAGGGCTAGGGTTAGGGTTAGGGTTACAAGGGGTGGCCCAATAGGGTTTTTGGAGTTTGTGTTATAGGCATTAAGAGAGGGCTAAGGGAAGCCAGCTGGTGAAGCAGCGCCCAAAACCCTAGAGATTTGACGGCGTGAGGTCCATCTAACCTCAAGATGGGCTGGTTAGAGTGCCTAACTTGGGCGTCTTTGAGAAAAGTGTTTGTTCTTTGTTACAGTGGCCTACATGAGGTTGTGGCATGAGACTTTCTGGAGTTGGATTGGACAAAAGTCTTTCAGGGATGGCACAAAGTGCTTCTAAATTCAGCTTGGTACCTTAAGTTGAGTCATCTTCAGCATACTTGACACAAGTTGAGGATCAAGTTGAGGGAAGATGACCTAATGTTGGCTGATGTTGCCTGAACTTGACACAACTTCTGAGGGATACTGAGCAGCAAAGGGGCGACCCTTTGGATTGAGAACAGATGTCAAAAAGTGTGGTTGAGAGTGCATCTTCAAGGAAGTTCACCTGCCCAAGGGAGAAGATGAATCAAGTTGAGGGAAGATGACCTGATGTTGGCTCATGTTGCCTGAACTTGACACAACTTCTGATGGTCACTGAGGAGTAAAGGGGGGACCCTTTGGTCTGAGACCAGATGGCACAAAAGTGTCTGGTGGAGCAACTTCAGGGAAGTTGAGCTCCAGAAGGAGAAAGATGCAGGAAGTTGAAGGAAGATGAACAGACATAGGTTCATATTGTCAGAACTTGAGAGAACTTCTGATGGTCACTGAGGAGCAAAGGGGGGACCCTTTGGTCTGAGACCAGATGGCACAAATGTGTCTGGTGGTGCATCTTTAAGGAAGTTCAGCTCCAGAAGGAGGAAGATGCAGGAAGGTGAGGGAAGATGAACAGACATAGGTTCATATTGTCTGAACTTGAGAGAACTTCTGATGGTCACTGAGGAGCAAAGGGGGGACCCTTTGGATTTGAGAAC